CTTTATTTATTATAATAAAAGCTAAAATTTAAAAATTGGAAATGTACTAGGTTAGATTAGGTAAGATAAAGAATAATAATAGATATGTTTCATGAGTTACTCTGATGAGCAGCTAATGTATTATGTAATTCTGTGGGGGGTAACATGAGCTACACACTTGCGGTGTGGTTTACAACTATTGTGACAGGATTATTAGTAAGACATGGTTCAAAAGGCAGTAAAATAATGAAATTTAAATAGAAATAGATGTATACTTTTACAGGCCTTAGGCTATAATAGGATAAACATACGTGGTTTCCTGTTACAATTTCAAGTAATTCTAAAAAGAAAAAAGTGGTAATTTAGGTTTATTTTACTTTTTTTTTATTGTGCTTATGAAGTTGCTCGAATTGATTGACCCTGTATAGAATAAGGGCAGAAAAAATAATAGATAAGATATAAAGTCTTCCTGAAAAAAACATGTATATATTTTTATAATGTTTTAGAGATTATGCAAATAAAATTTCACAATTTTCAGATGAAGAAAAGTGTTTTTAGTCTTAACATGAAAATGACTTTGCACTGGGAACAGTCAACAATTTGATTCCATGCATTGCCTCTACATGCTTGTAATATTGTAGTGCATTACCTGTATGCTAGCCATATACTGGTAATATTGTGGTGCATTAACTGTATGCTAACCATATACTGGTAATTCCAAAACATACCTCTGCTGCCATCTTAGCTTGTTCTCAATGTTGGCCTTGCCTCTCTAAGCATTGGTTTCGCATGCTCCAGTCTTTCATACTCCACTTAAATGTCTTTGGCAATATCTAAGTTGCAAATCCCTCTACCTGTGTCAATGTGCCTTTTATCCTGACACTGTGTATAAGCACCTCACTCAGATAATGTAATCACTTTTTCTTGACAAAACTTTGGTCACAGTTTTGTCTGATGAAGTGCTGTGGTTCGTTCCCTTATGGATTGTGATTTTCGCATTGCCATGTGGACTTCTGTATAATTATAATTTCCTTTTAAAAAAATTGGATGTTATGTTTTTGGGTATTAATTCCTGTATTACCATTGTCAGCACGGCGGTTAATCTGACCTCCCTTATTCCTCCTTTGTTATCTAGCGTCTCTCTATGGTCAGCGGGAGGGAGTCACTCTCAGTTAAGGCTGTCCCTGTTTTGATCTGTTGGGAGATGGAAACATACATCTGGCCCAGGAGTGTTTTTCTCCTGGGGCCCCTGAACTTGCCTTTTTTGTTGATACTGGTTATATTCTGGGGAGAATTTGGACTCTGATGCCTTTCTTTACTAAGTCAGCTTCTCATGAGTCGATTTGGATCAACTATCTCCTACTCCTTTTCTTCAATTAGTCAGTTGGGTTATAGGATTTTGGGGCTTTTCTCTGTGACCTTTGAGTCTACTCTTCCCTTGATGGTTGAACGGTCAGGGGGGGGTATTTAGTTTTCTCTTCTTCACCTGATATTCCCGGCTCATGCTGAGAAGTTTACTGTTTTATTAATTGACTGGATAGATGTACCTTGTACACTTGTTTGTATGTTTGCATGCTTTGGCTTTCCACCTCCAGGGGGACATATTTTTTCAGTTCCACAGACTTAAGTTATTTAATTTTGGATATGTGGGGTTCCAGTTTGGTTCATGTGATCACTTTGAACCAATCACTTTTTTTTTTTTATTTGTTTGCTCTCACTCTTCCTCTGTAATGTTTCTTCCCCTGAAAATTGTTGTCAGCCTATCAATGATCCACACATTAATTTGCAGACGAATGGGGTTTCCTACTGACTTCTACCTTGTTCAGATTGCCTGCTTCTGTTCCCTCTGTAGAGATACCTTGGTGAAGGGACATTGTCCACCTGCTGTAATCTCTGGGTGTTACATGTGGCTTCTTTATATCATCATTTCCTGTTTGTGGGTTTCCCAGAGGAGTTTGTACTGCAAATTGCTGTCACTCATTTGCTTTGTTGTTGTCGTTCTCTCAGCTTTCTCTGGCTCTAGCAACTGAATAGACTCAGACTTTAGTTTCAGGGCCAAACAGTGCCAACGGTGTCAGTATCAACCTAGGTGGGAAGGAGGTCAGTTAGAGTGAGGTTACAACTATTGATGGACACCTAGTATTGCTTCACTACAGATACATGGGCACTTCAGGTTCTGGTATTGATGTTGGTCTTTCTATCCATTCTCCACCTCCATTATCTTCTTACCCTGTGATATTTCCACCTCCACCTGACCAGTGGGGTGTGAATTTTCATTTCACGGCTATCAGAGTTACTGATCACGGGGGTGGTAGTGACAGTTTGATCCCATTCTTCCGATATTTTATTCATGCTTACTTGTGCCTGAGATAAGGGGAGATTCATGGATGACCATTGTTCTTTCTCATCTGAACCCATTCTTTGTTTCTCCCTGGTCCACAATGGAGTCCTTTCTCAATGTACATTGGCATTCTTCACCAGGTGAGTGGATGCCCAAGTTTGTGGTTACTGAGGCAGTTCTCCTCATTCTCATTGTGAATTCATCTTCCCTTTAGCTACGTTTTGTATATAGGGATCAGGTTCTGTAGTTCATGGGTCTAGTCTTTGGTCTAGCGTCAGCACCATATGTCTTCTGCTGGGTTGTACAAGTTTTCACCATGTTTTATGCCTGGCTCAGCCATCTCTCATCCAGCTCCAGGCTATGTACATTACCCACACACTATATTCATGTAATGTTGTAGTACATTACCCAAACTCTATATTCTTGTAATGTTGTAGTACATTACCCAAACTCTATATTCTTGTAATGTTGTAGTACATTACCCACACACTATATTCTTGTAATGTTGTAGTACATTACCCAAACTCTATATTCTTGTAATGTTGTAGTACATTACCCACACACTATATTCTTGTAATGTTGTAGTACATTACCCACACACTATATTCTTGTAATGTTGTAGTACATTACCCACACACTATATTCTTGTAATGTTGTAGTACATTACCCACACACTATATTCTTGTACTGTTGTAGTACATTACCCACACTCTATATTCTTGTAATGTTGTAGTACATAACCCACACCTATATTCTTGTAATGTAGTAGTACATTACCCATGTTTATAAGCTAATGGTATCACTATAGAATACAATTAGTATTCATGATACAAATTTCTCAAAATATTTTATTTTTGTATCTTCAAACAAACACTGACCTAAAGTTCTTGAATAAAATATAGCCTTCTCTTTATTAAACAGTTTGTAGGTATTTTATTCTGAGTATTTTCTATCTAAATTAATTCAGAATTAATCTAAATCCTGGAATAATATTTATTCTTTGCTTATTTTTATCATGTAATGTAAGCACTGAATTTCCTAAAACTTACTATTTATTTAAGATAATTTTCCATACCTGTTTTTATAAATTGATTAGCACAACATATCTTTTTCAATCAGTCTCCAGGTGTCACCTTTATTTTACTTAAACACTTAAGTACAGTTTTAATTATACATATATTTATCCATTTCTAAAGTAAAATATCCCTAACGCCTTTTCACATACACTCTCGCCATTGGCTACATTGTACCAGAAATAAGATTATTACAACAGTACATAGAGAAATAGACTAAACATTTCCTGGAAAATAGGATGATCTTCATGACGTCACTAAACTCCATTTTTATATA